ACCCCCCCCCCCCCCCTCCCTCCCCGTTAGCAGCCGCTATAAAAAAAACTCCTTCCGCACCTCCCTGTATCCGGCGGCGGCGAGCTCGACCATCTCCTGCCGGATCGACTCCTTCGGTCGGCTCTGCTCGACTCCACGCACGCCGGGCACGACACAGTAGGTGCAGTGCTCGTTGCATCCTGGAAACACGTAAGAGTCAAGAAGTCAGACGGAAGGAAAAAACTAGTGTAAAATACTAAAACACGAAAAAAGAAAAACAAAAAAATGTTGAAGGACACATGTCGGAAGTATAACCAACCATTTGTGCACATACAAAGTGTAGGAGAATACGATCCATCGGGGAAACTTTGCCATCGGGAGAATGACAAGCAATACATCGTTTTAAAATCCGTCTCTTTCGTGGTCTTTGACCGCTTGCCGAGAGTAGGGGCGGAGAGTCTTCGACTCTCCTCCCTCTGCCCCCTGGTCGCTACTTCTCTACCTCTCTCTCTCTCCTCGCTACATCGCACGGAAGGAAATAACCCACCCTTGGCAAAAGTGGGTGAATACTGCAACGGCACACCGGCCTATTGTCTCTGACGGGAGCCTGTGTCCTCAAAAACAGAATAGAAGAACAACAAGTAATAATAATAAATACTAAGTAAATACACAACAACAACAGAAAACACCACAAACTAAATAAACACGACGCGGCACGTGGTCGTTCCATCTCTCGACACGTACATATCGTTAACCTGAGAGAACAAAAAGGCAACAGAGGTCACATTCAAGGTGGTTGTTGTACGGCGATCTAAATATTCACCTGTGAATTCTAGCATCACATCTTCTGTAAAGTATCAGCAGTGTACCGCCAAATCTACCAAATCTACGAGATCCACAGACACACCGTAGATGATGTTGACCCATGCGCACGTCGAGCTGCCCCTGCGAGGCTTGGACACGTCCTCCATGATCAGGGAGGGATCCGTCGCCACGATCTGATTGGCGCGTTCGTGCAGGAACGGTGGCAGCGAAGGGAGGGGGGGGGGGGGGCATTCGTATAGCGGGGACTGGGGGAAAAATCCTACAAAACAAGGCCTTGAAGGCATCTAACGATCGCAATGAGGGCACGCTTTGGAGAGGACGCGTAGGGGGGCTGGGGGGTGGTGACACACCAAGAGACATGTGTGTTTCGCAAACATAAACGTAACAACGGGCCACAGACACACACAACCCTCCTCCACAGCAGTGCAGCAACAAGAGCGGGAAGTAACCATCAGCACTGCTGCTATCCACAAAATTCAGAACGATGACGCACACGGCACAGACACCTCGACGCGGCACGACGCAAGACGCATTGCTGCAAACTGCTACTTCTTTCAAAAAAACAAATCAAACTCCCTTTCCCGCTTGTCCGCAAAAATGACATTGTGGGAGCTCGTTCACGTAGACATACTGGTATTCAGAATCACCACTATATTCGTTCGTGGTGTACCCCGTATTTCCGGAGATCTTGTAGATTCGCCGGGGTGCGAGGTGAAAAACACCGCGCTCCCTTTGGAGCTCGATCTTGGCAGAGACGCGCGCGTGGTGAACGCAAGGCCGGCACGCGGAACGGGGGAGAGGGCGTTTCCCATGCAGCATCTCGTACGGGCACAGCGCGTCTGGTCTGGGTTCCGGTCGGCAGCGTCTTGATGCAGACCGACATCCAGCGCCACGCCTCCGGCCAGTAGTCACAAGCCTGCCGAGGAAACGGGGAAGAGAAGAAAAGCCTCCGCAAAAAGCCACCCTCCCGAACCAGCCCATTCCGCCGCTCGCTCCACCTTGCCGTTACGCTGCTGCCCTTCCGTCCGTCAGCTCCCGCCGGTGATGGCCGAACTCCAGAAGCAGGTCTCGCCCCCCGGCTCGTTGACCAGCTCCGGGCCCTTGTCGTTGCTGGAAGTTGCCGTGGGTGGCCCGCAGACGTTGGAGGGGTCTCGCGGAGAGCCTTTGTTACGGTCGCGGGCTTTCGTGTCCCCGGCAGAAAAAAACCGTCATGCCGTAGTTTGGTGTGGTCGTCTCTACCAAGGATGCCCTTGCCTACAGCGCACCCGTCGCAGAACGACAGGGATACCTTGATGCCCATCCGCCGCGCCGCCTCGCGAATGAGGCGCTCGTGCGCGTGGGCCAGGCCGACCTGAGGTCGTTCGTGTCAATGGCCGCCAGCATGTCCGCCGGCTGCGATGGCGAACGGGTTGCAGGATGCCTACTCCGCCGACAACGCCGTTCCGGGGACGCTGCCACCGCCGATGCCGCCCTGGCCACCGACCCCGCTCCTGACACCGTCCCCGCCCCTGGCATAAGACTGCTGCTGCCGCTGCTGTTGGTCCCGCTGCTGGCGGTGGAAGACTCCTTGCCCGCTCTGGCCATCTGCTCATGACCGCAAGGGAGAATCCTCCTTGCTCCAGCTGCCCTCCCGCGCTGCCATCGGAAACCACCATTGCCATTGTTGCCCCCCGAGAGTCGCCTCTGCTGCTCTGCTGGAACGAAGAGCGTGCGGGTCGTCGGACGCAGCGGGCTGTCTGTCGCTCTGCGGTACGCGCTGCGTACTTAAACGTCCTTCAGCAATTCACGATTCATCCCCGCGGCCATGAGAGTGCGCTTCTTCTTCTCCGTGTCGGAGCAGCGGAATAATCTCCGCTTCCGGATGCTTGGCTCCTTGTGAGGATTCCGTCAAAAGAAATGAAATGAACGGGTTCTTCGTCCAACGCGTATCTTGAGTTGGGACAATGATCGCCTGAGAGCTTCCCTCCCAACGCGGTCGCTAGACGGTAGTAACAGCAGCGATTCTCCTCGAGCCAGGCACCTTCCACACACCCATCCGTAAGCATCTTCGTCCCGAACTTCGCATCTTTCCATGCTGTTGTTGTAGGGCACGTTCATTTCCTCGACCAAATTTCTGCCGTGGATATTTGAAGAAGCTCCCTCCTTGCTGGAGGGACCGTTTCGCAGCAGCCGTGGCTGGGTTCCTGTGGAGAGTGAGCCAGCCCCAAATCTCGAAGAGTTGCCGACACACCGGACTCACGTCCGGCACTACACGCTCCCCCAGCTGCCTGCCCAGCTTGAATCCCAGCTGCCTTCCGAGCATCACTCATTGCAGCCTTCCCTACATCGTTGCCATCAGTTTCATCGCTGTTTGCGGGCTTCTCGTACGTAAAGATCTGCTGCCCTTTCCGCAGATGCTGCCCTTTCCGTCTGTACAACTTTCGCCATCCCGTCGGACCAATCCCTTCTCGTAACTCGATTAATCGTCTTTTGTGCCCCCGCGCCTTCCCGCGGTGGTTGGGGTTGAACATGGGGGACTACGTGAAACCAGGACGATGATTGGCGTAAATCTTTCTTGGCAAAATATGTACCGTGCTGCTTCCAGCACACACTCAACACAACCAATGTCCGTGCTCTCTCTTGAGGGGCCCCCAACAGCATAATACCCCCTACACACAAATCGGATCTCGTATCCAAGTACCCCAGACAAGGGAGGATGCCGAAAGCAGCCACTCATAAGAGAAAGCTTCTGTACCGGCAAGAGCTACAGCACCTACAATACCTGGTTTCCGTTCATGACATCCTCGAGCAGGTCTCCCAACCGGTTGGCGTACTGCGGCCCCATGACGAGATCGATCTCAGGAACCCTCCGAAGAAGCTTCTCGCCCTCTTGCTGAGCGACGCACCTGGAAGCCCGGGGGGTCGACGTGTGACGACGCAAAAGGATTGGGTAAAGAAAACGTGTTGCTGTACCTTGCTATCTTGCTTGAATAGCCATCACATTTATTACAGACGGTGGGGAGGTGAGGCATGGACTACACCGACAACAATATTTCCAAGAACGTTCTAGGAGTTTCTTCGCGGTGCAAACGTCGTCTGAGTGCCCATAGACGTGCGCTTGTGTGGGCATCCGTAAACGTGTCCACACAGACGGCGGGCGTTCGAGGCTATGCCCAAAGCTATTTCAACAACAGGTTTTTGTTTTCCGAAGAGTGCCCTCTGAACGGTGTGAGCGTTTTGAATGTTCTCGGGGGTTCTCGGGGTTGCTTGACAACACCAGTCAGTGCAACGATAGTTGTGACGCGATGGTTACGGGTAACACTGTGTCCTCGGACTTGCCCATGAACAGTTTGAGTCGCTCGAAATAAGACGGAGGGGGGGCTTGGTAAAAAAATCCGTGGTTTAGGCTCCCGTCTCCGTGAACGTCGCAGGGTTAGGAAGTTCCCTACGTATTAGTCAGCAACAGCATGACAACGACAACAACATGATCAACAAGGACAACATCAGCATCAATAAAAACATCAACAACATCAACATCCAAGCAGAATAACACCAACATCAACATCAAGAAGAAGGACGACAACAACATCGACAGCCCGATAACGCCACCATCCCCACCGCCAAAAACACCACCACCAACAGCAACGACAACAACAGCAGCATCCCCTTACCCGGCGACGACGATGGCGATGTTCTCGCCCTTCTGCTTGCGGATCGCGTAGGGCCCGACGTACGAGTACACCTTCTGCTCCGCGTGGTCGCGGATGGAGCAAGTGTTGAGCACAAACACGCTCGCCTCCGTCTTGTCCTCGGTCTTCTGAATCCTGAGGGCAAGGGCAAGGACAAGGGCAAGGGTTTCAACGTCACAGAAAAGAAAAAAGAGAAAAAAGGACGCTAAGGTAAGGGTAAAGGTACGGGTAAGGGTTTCAAAATCACAGAAAAGGGCGATACCGATGCTTGTGCGCGAGAAAGGCGGAGACGGGGGGGGACGCTTCGAACAAGCCGGCCTCTGTCTTAACCTTGGTCCGATCGATCTTGAGGGTCAGGGCAATGGTAAGGGTTTCAACGTCACAGAAAAGGGCGTTGCTCGTGCTTGAACGTGAGAAATACGGAGAAGGAGGGGAACGCTCCCAACAAGTCGGGCTTTGTCTGACCCTTGGTCGGTCTCAACGTCACAGAAAAAGGGCGTTATCGATTATTGTGCGTGAACCGACAGATTGTCGCAAAACTCGACCTTCTTCGATGCTGAAGGTTTCAACGCAACGAGCACAAGTTTGCAACAGAGATTTCAGGTACTACTGAATACCGATTACACAAGCTAGACTTGACCCCTGAGCACAAGATATGCCCGTTTCGCCGTTGACGCCCCCACGTCCTGCTTCCGACCGACAGCGACGTGCGGTTGTTGCTGTTGTCTTCACAATACAAACCATTCCGGTCTCTGCTCAGTACCCTCAAACGCCCGTACCGATCCAACTGAACGCGAACGCCTTCCGTGGTCACAGCAAGCCAACAGCCAAAAAAAAAAAAAAACGAGTGGCGAGCGTGAACGCTCGACAAGACAAAAAACACAGCCCGTGCGAAAACCCACCCAAGATCCGCCATCTGGCCCTCCATTCTCTCCGAGTCCGCGACGTTCATCTGGCACCCCATCGTCTCCATGAAGTACGACAACGCTGGGTGTGTGGAGACCGACGGCCAGACGACACGCGAAACCGTTCGGTGGCGGGTGTAGGATAAGGTCGACAGGGCATGGGACAAGACGCTCGTCAATCGTTTCTTCTTTAGTACTCCTACCGGGAATACTACTACTCTGCTCGCGCATGTACAACCCGGAAAAATTCTTGCCCTAGTCTTTCCAAGAAACTTGAGTATCAAGCAAAAAGTGGGTGTGTTTACGGAGAAAAAAAAAAAGAAAATCTTATGCATACATACAATCACGGAGAAACTATAATACCCTTTCGAGATTCAAATCCACTTCAAAAACATGTTTTTTCTTCTTGTAGTCGGCAGAAAACGTGAGCGCTGACTCCCCCACACGCCATCGCAATACTTCCTCCGGAAATGAAACGACTCAAAAGCCGGTCTCAAAACACATGCCTCGCCAAATTCCGGGTGTAGCGTTCCCCCCTCTCCTCTCCTCTCCTCTCCTTCTCCCTCTCCCCAGAAATTTCGACACTTAGGATACGGCGGCGTCTCTCTCACCCCCAGCCCCCCCCCTCAACTCCGTAAATTTTCGAGCCCCGCTCTTCCTCTCCCTCCTTCCCTGTCACCGCTGGGTCCCCACCCCCCCGGATATGTTGCCATCTGTACACCCCCCCCCCCCCCCCCCCCCCAGGAAA